GCCCTTGCTCTCTGCTCCCCACATCTCGAGATTAACATGCCAGCAGCAAAAAATGTCCCATGTTCTACACTGTGACCTGGAGCTTATAGCATCAACAATTCCTTCAGTGACCCAGGCACAGCTCAGCTCTCCCCAGGCACTGCAGGGAGGAAGCATTGCTTACCTGGTTCTCAAATCAGGCTGCAACTTCTGAACTGCTGGAATGTTTGGAATCTGTTGTGGCAAGGCCTGCCTTTCCTGACAACCCTGAGTACTTTGAACTCCAGGTGAGGCTTCTCTAAAAAGGAGACTTAGGCAAGGAAATCATCAGGATTCAGCAAAACTCCTGATGACGTGCGGAAACAGACTCCACAATCTGATAGATTGTAAAGTAGGTATGTTTATTCAGCGCTGGGCACACAGGGGATCACTCCTCCTAATGTGTGCTACCATGTGGCACCATTGCCTTAGATTTATAGAGCAAATGATTACATATTCATAATATTTCGCAATACGCCTATACATATGCATCACCTATCCCCGCTTCGTATTAAAATTAGCATTTCCATGATCTCCTCCCAGTTGAGTCTGCGCAGTGAGTTCCTTTGGTCCCGGGCAGGGGTCGTGAAGGACTGGGCGGTGGTCGTGGGAGGAAGTATCTCCTCTTCCTCAGTGCTGAACTTTTCACCCCGAATTCCTGCGCAGTCTCTGTCACCCCCCTGGACCCGCAGAGCAGGTTTGTGCCGTTTGTGGGGTAATCTTCACTTACTCAGGGGTGGAGGAGGCTTTTTACTTAAACAGGAGATAGTGGTCCATCAACACAAACATCTTCACTTACTCAGGGGTGGAGGAGGTTTTTTACTTAAACAGGAGATAGTGGTCGAGCAACACAAGCACCTCGTACAAGCTAGGCAAACCCTTATCTCGACTATTTCTCTCGTCATCCCCTTCTTGCTATTCCCATATTAACCCTTACATCCCCTGTTCCTATCTAGGCCCTGTATCAATCCCCCCTTTTCTTATCATACTAAGTAAATTCTTTTACTTCAACAATTTTCCCGAATAATATAAAGCCTCATGCATAGCAGTTATCCTTTTAAACATTCTCCAGACCCATAAATATAACATGATGGTTAGTACTAATAAAATTCCTAAACTACCTAGTAGGATCACAATGGGGTGTATCATAGTGTTAAGAATCCCTGTTGCAGAAGGCGACCAGCCGAAAAAAGTATCCCACCAGTTATGACTTGCATCTTGTTTTGCTCTTTGCAAAACCCTGTTTATTTCTTTTGTATCATGGTGAACAGTGACTAAAGTTTTCTCTCCGTTTTTTTTAATTTCTCTCAAGATCCCCAACAGATCTTGGTGTTTAATCAATTGCCTTACTAATGTAAGGTTCATTCCAATAGGTGTAGGTGATAACTCGAGATACCCTGTGATTTTAAATTTTATCAACTGGTGGGAAACCACTGGTGCCCAATATACTGATACAGGGCCTAGATAGGAACAGGGGATGTAAGGGTTAATGTGGGAATAGCAAGAAGGGGATGAGGAGGGAAATAGTCGAGATAAGAGTTTGCCTAGCTTGTACGAGGTGTTTGTGTTGCTCGACCACTATCTCCTGTTTAAGTAAAAAGCCTCCTCCACCCCTGAGTAAGTGAAGATGTTTGTGTTGATGGACCACTATCTCCTGTTTAAGTAAAAAGCCTCCTCCACCCCTGAGTAAGTGAAGATGTTTGTGTTGATGGACCACTATCTCCTGTTTAAGTAAAAAGCCTCCTCCACCCCTGAGTAAGCGAAGATTACCCCACAACGGCACAAACCTGCTCTGCGGGTCCAGGGGGGTGACAGAGACTGCGCAGGAATTCGGGGTGAAAAGTTCAGCACTGAGGAAGAGGAGATACTTCCTCCCACGACCACCACCCAGTCCTTCAGGACCCCTGCCCGGGACCAAAGGAACTCACTGCGCAGACTCAACTGGGAGGAGACCATGGAAATGCTAATTTTAATACGAAGCGGGGATAGGTGATGCATATGTATAGGCGTATTGTGAAATATTATGAATATGTAATCATTTGCTCTATAAATCTAAGGCAATGGTGCCACATGGTAGCACATATTTGGAGGAGTGATCCCCTGTGTGCCCAGCGCTGAATAAACATACCTACTTTACAATCTATCAGATTGTGGAGTCTGTTTTCCGCACGTCAATACAAAGTCACACCCAATGATCTTAACAAAGTTACAAATACAGAAATTAGAATGATTCCCAATGGGCAAAGTTACATTGTCATGATCTATCTCTACGAATACACAAGCAGTTCTTAAACATATACAGCCTTGACCAGTATATACAATCACCGTTTTTTACTATTATCTGGGTGAATTTCGAAGTGGCAAATACTTTGCTCAGTGTCAAGGCATACATCTTGGGCATCAATTGTATTACTTTCACAAATGAACCCCTGTTGTTCTTGGGTAATACAAGATTCCACATTTACAGTCTGCCATTTCTCATTCACCTTCCGAGCCCATGCTCTGTGTTCTGAAGGATAGAGCACTGTGTCCTCATGATTCAATCCTAATGCAATGATGGGGTGGATTACATAAACTGTGGCATTATGTATAGTGAGCACAAAGGCAGTAGCTATGTTAGTAGTGGGGTCATAAGTAAAATTCACCATAGTCCACCAAGATTGGAATCTCCTTTCAAAATTGGTGGCTTTGTCCCAAACAGCCTTTGTTTTCCTGCCCAGTAAGTAGAGCTATTAAATGCTCTGCATCTGAATTTTAATTTCTTGTCCCAATGTTCCTGCAATTGTGGTTCTCCTGGATAGGCATCCCATTCTTCTTTTGTGGGCACATTTGTCCCCTGCATAACTATAGTAGCCAACGTGTGGTTGCTCACATTTCTAGTCTTATTAGTATGCCCAATGTAAGCCTGGGACCATGGCCATTCACTGAACCTTCGACTATGCATTAGAGGAAAAATGATTATCAGACTTATCATGAGAAGCGTAATCTTCCCGGCCGAACTTGGGTAACTTTCCATGGGGATTTATGGGCTTTCTTTACTCGGGTGTGATGTATCCAGGCCGAGTATTCCCTAATCTTGATGGCTATAAACATCGTGAGCAGCACCTGGAATGGCCCTTCCCACTGTGGCTCCAAGGTTTTCTCTGTAAGAGACTTAACATACACATAGTCCCCAGGTTGTATATCATGTACAGGTCCATCCAGCCCTCTACCTCGAGTACCAATTACATGTTTTCTGATCTTATTGAGTTGCTTCCCTAACGCCACCATGTAGGAGCTCATAATTTCATCTCCAATTTGTGTGGATATTCCTTTTTGTACCCCGTATGGTTGTCCATATAAAATTTCAAAGGGGCTTAGCCCTTCCCTTGTCCTTGGCCTTGTCCGTATGCGTAAAAGAGCCAAGGGCAAGGACTGAGGCCATGTCAGGTTTGCTTCTTGCCCCAATTTCACAATTTGCTGTTTGATTAAGTGGTTCATCTTTTCCACTTGACCGCTTGACTGAGGGCGGTACGGGGTATGAAGCTGCCAATCTATACCCAAATGGTGGCTAATTTGTTGTACTACTTTTGAGACAAAGTGTGGTCCTCTATCTGAGGATATGATTGCCGGAACCCCAAATCGTGGTATTATTTCTTGTATCAGTACTTTAGTTACTTCCTGAGCTTTAGCTGTTCCAGTAGGGAATGCTTCTGGCCAGCCTGAAAAGGTATCAGTCAGTACCAACAAATATCGATACCCCCCTTTTCTTGGTAATTCCATAAAATCTACTTGCCATTGTTGCCCAGGCCCGTTGTCCTTCCCAATCTGACCCATTTCTAGTTTGGGGGCGTTTTTGGGATTAGTCCGGAGGCAGATGTCGCATTGTCGAGTCACCTGCCTTACCGTGGTATACAAATTTCTGGCTACAATCCCTTTTATCAAATGACTATACAAAGCTTCTGCTCCCCAGTGTCTCTTTCTATGCTCCTCTCGTGTGAAATGCCATAGTAAACGAGAGGGGATAATTAACTTCCCCTGTGGGGTATAAGCCCACCCTTCCTTGTTATATGTCCCTTCCAGATCTGCAATAAGTTTCTGATCCTCCCTGGTATATTCTGGTTTACTTTCCAGGGAAATTTGCCTATCGGGAATAAGTGCTCCTTCCGTCTTTATCTCTATTTTGGCAGCCCATTTTGCCTCCCTATCTGCCAGCTCGTTTCCTTTTTCCAATTCAGAGTTCACCTTTTGGTGTGCTTTAATATGCATAATCGCCACCTTCTCAGGAAGTTGAACAGCTTCTAATAGTTTAAAAATTTCCTCTGCATGTTTAATGTTTTTCCCTTGGGAGTTCAATAGTCCTCTTTCTTTCCAAATTGCTCCATGCGAGTGCACAACTCCGAAAGTGTATTTGGAGTCCGTGTATATGTTTATGATCTTACCCATGGCCAGTTCCAGGGCTCGAGTTAAAGCAATTATTTCTGCCTTTTGTGCAGAAGTATTTGCAGGCAGAGGTCCTGATTCTATTACCTTTTGACTGGTGGTAACGGCATACCCCGCATGTCGATTACCGTTCAGGATGTAACTGCTTCCGTCCGTGAACCAGTTCTCCTCATCCTTCATGGGGCTTTCCTTCAGGTCAGGGCGACTTGAGTATGTCGCCTCAATTGTTTCCAAGCAGTCATGGTGCACTGGTTCCCCCACGTTACCGCTGAGGAAAGAAGCTGGGTTGACAATATTAGTGACTATTATCTGTACATCATCTTGTTCTACTAGTGCAGCTTGGTATCTCAGAAATCTTTGTGGGGAGAGCCAATGCCCTCCCTTTGCTTCCAGGACTGCCGATACTGTATGGGACACATAGGCAGTCATTTTCTGGCCCAGAGTGAACTTCCGAGCTTCCTGTATGTTCAATATCAGGGCAGCCACCGCTCGCAGACACCCAGGCCACCCTTTTGCAGTCGCATCTAGTTGTTTAGAGAGGTAGGCGACAGCTCGTCGGTATGGACCTAGGTCTTGTGCCAGTATTCCCAGGGCAATGCCCTGCTTCTCATAAGAAAAGAGAAGAAACGGTTTACTCACATCTGGGAGTCCTAGAGCTGGGGCTGACATCAAAGCCTTCTTCAGTGAATCGAAGGCTCGCTCAGCTGATACAGGGCCAAGATAGGAACAGGGGATGTAAGGGTTAACATGAGAATAGCAAGAAGGGGATAACAAAAGAAAATAGTTAAGATAATAGTTCAAGGGAAATAGTTTAGATAACGGTTAACAGTTCTGCTTAGTGAGCAGACAGTTTGTAAGACACGATGAGCTCTTTAGGCTTTATCAGTACCAAGCCGGTTGGAACTAGACCCGCGGTTTGGACAACAGCCAGTAAGAAACTGAGTCTGCGCAAAACCTGGGGTCACAGAGCGGATAGGAGGAAGAGGAGCTTGACTTCATCCCCAAAGACCCCCACGACCACCACCAGAAGACACTGCGCAGACTCAACTGGGAGGAGATTATGGAAATGCTAATTATAATACGAAGCGGGGATAGGTGTTGCATATGTATAGGCGTATTGCGAAATATTATGAATATGTAATCATTTGCTCTATAAATCTTAGGTAACAGCACCCCACGTTGGGTACACAATAGGAGGAGTTATCCCCTGTGTACCTCAGCGCTGAATAAACATACCTACTTTACAATCTATCAGATTGTGGAGTCTGTTTCCGCACGTCAGTTTTGGCGAGCCAGGCAGGAGACTCTCTGCTCGACTACGGGATCGACTGCGGGGCGGACTCTCCCAGGCGCGCCCCGAGCACTTTCCTCGGAGGAGCCTCCGCTACCAGCCGCTCACCGTGGGGGGCAGACAAGGACTTCCTGAAGCCACGGACCAAACGGTATGTTCAAGGATAGGAGCCTGTAAGTCGTACGCGTGGCTGGGGCAGCTGGTAAATCTCACAGAGACGTCTGGCGTGCAGCTAAGCCGGGTAGGTGCACCGAAAAGGCGCGAATTCGTGCGGGTTAGGGGAGTCTAGAGGGCAATTATACCTTGCCACAGACCGATAGAGCGGTCGCTGGCTCCAATCGGGGACCTGTTGGCCGAGAGGGCGGCCACAGGCAAGAGTGATTGAAAAGGCCTTTGTTCTGTTGTGTTTTTTTTACTCCTGATGAAAGTGTTGTAAGTGTGTGGACTTGTAAGTGTGTGGACGTCCGTGAGATTGTGAGATTGTGAGTGAATGCTGTGTGGTGATCGTGTTAAGCGTGAGCGTTTGGAGTGAGTGTTTTACAAAAACAAGATGGGTAACACTCAGGGAGGGATATTAAAAAAGAGCCCTCTCGGCTGTATACTCGCCCATTGGCGGGATATTGCAGGGAGCGGAGGTACGGAGAGCAGAAGGACTCTTATAAAATATTGCAATCAGTGGTGGCCGCTGTATAAGCTAGAGGATGGCGCTAAATGGCCGCTTAATGGAACACTGGACTATAACACTCTTTTACAACTTATGTTGTTTATAAGGAGAGAAGGAAAATGGGATGAGGTATCATACGCGGATATGTTTTTCACTTTGCGAAATCACCCAGAGTGGCAAAGGGACTGTGGGTTAGTACCCCCACAGGACCCTATGGTGCTCGCACTTGAACGAGAAAATAAGGAAAGTAGGGGTAAGTTGAAAAGGTGTTGCTCGTCATGTAGCATTGGACAGAGATGTACAAAGGTAGATAAGGTTCACCAAACCTCAGAACAAGATGATGATTTGTTTAAACCTCCCCCCCGATCACAGAATCGGGATGTTGACTCGGAAGAAACGGCAGACTCTCCCGATAGTCCGATATCTGCCCACACTAGACAAAAAACTGCAACAAGTATTTTACAGGCACCCCTTCGGGAATCCGTGGGACCGGAGGGTGGTACAATGTTGATTAGGGTACCCTTCACCACCGTTGATTTGGAAGCATGGAGGGGAATTGCAAAAAACTATAGACGCGATCCACATGATGTAGCTAAACACTTCCAATTCATTATAAAACAGCATAACCCGGATTGGAGTGATATACAGCTGCTATTAGAATATATGACTGAAACTGAGAAACAATTGATTCTAAAAACAGCAGGAGACTTGGCGGAGGATCATTATAAGATCACTGGGGGGGACGTTAAGGAATATTTTCCCCTCCAAGACCCGAAATGGGAACCAAATAGATCGGCACATATGGAAAGGTTACGGGCGTATCGGGAATGGATTGCAAAGGGGATAGAAAGAGCGATCCCTAAAACTATAAATTGGTCAGTTTTATATGCAGTAAAACAGGGTCCTTCTGAGTCCCCATCTGAATTCTTGGATCGACTGAGGGATGTAATGCGCCGTAATACACCGTTGGATCCGGGATCAGAAGTAGGAATACAACAACTAGTTTCCTTGTTCATGGGCCAATCCACAAGAGACATAAGGCGAAAACTTCAGAAGCTGCGCCCTACGGAAAGTAGGAATCTGGAGGTATTGTTAGAGGAGGCGTGGAAAGTGTTTAGCAACAGGGAAGAAGAATGTCGACAAGGACAGATGAAGTTGACGGCCACTCTGGTTCAGAGACCGGCCAGGCAACGACCGCGGCTGGGGCGGGATCAGTGTGCTTTGTGTAGGGGTTTCGGGCATTGGAAAAAGGAATGTCCAAGGAATAGGAGGGAGAATGGGAAGGCTTCAATGAATGTAAAAATAGCAAATGTAACAGAGGACTGACGGGGACCTGGGGGATCTACCCTGGCGGATCCACTGGTTAAAACTAAGCTGGGGAGAGAAAAAGAAGAAATAGAATTTTTGGTAGACACAGGAGCAACGTACTCGGTTTTGAATCAAGCTTTAATACCACTGGGGGACGACTATGTTATGGTAAAGGGAGCGACCGGCCAATCTGAAAAGGCGTATTTTTGTAAACCTTTAGAGTATAAATTGGGAAAGCAATGGGGAATTCATAAATTCCTTTATATGCCTAACTCCCCAAAAGCTCTCCTGGGGAGGGACTTGCTGGAACAACTGGAAGCAAAAATTGTCTTTGAAAAAGGGGAAGTCACCTTGGAGGTAAAAGATCAGCAGTACATTCAAGTGCTGAGTCTCACTCTAACTAGTTCTTCGTCAGGAGGAGAAATTAGTGAGGAAATTTTAAACCAAGTATATCCGGGAGTTTGGGCTACCGATGTACCTGGAAGGGCGAAAAACGCTCTACCAATTGAGATCAGGATTAAGGAAGGTCAACGACCGGTGAGAATTAAACAGTATCCTTTAAAAAGGGAGGATAGGGAAGGAATCCGACCAGTAATAGAGAAATTTTTGCAATTAGGGTTACTAGAAGAGTGTGAGTCTGAGTTCAATACCCCTATACTGCCCGTTCGGAAACCTGATGGGTCGTATAGGGTGGTTCAGGACTTACGGGCTGTGAATAAAATAGTTGAAGATCTCCACCCAGTGGTAGCAAACCCATATACACTGTTAACTGTATTAACACCAGAGTTGATTTGGTTTACTGTCTTAGATTTGAAGGACGCCTTCTTTTGCCTTCCTCTCCATAAAGCCAGCCAAAAGTTGTTTGCATTTGAATGGGAAAATCCTAAAACTGGTCGAAAGACCCAACTCACCTGGACAGTGTTGCCACAAGGGTTCAAGAATAGCCCTACTCTTTTTGGCAACCAGCTTGCAAAGGACTTGGAATCCTGGGAAGCCCCATCCGAGAAAGGAAAATTATTGCAGTACGTGGACGACATTTTGATCGCTACTGAGACAGAAGAGGACTGTGCAACGTGGACGGTGAGCTTGTTAAATTTTTTGGGACTACGGGGGTATCGAGTCTCTAAGAAGAAAGCCCAGGTGATACAACGTAAAGTAAACTACCTGGGCTATGAGATCACTGCAGGGCAAAGAACTTTGGGACAGTCCCGTAAGGAGGCCATATGTCAAACCCCGAAACCTCAGACAGTAAAAGAATTAAGAACCTTCTTGGGAATGACGGGGTGGTGCAGGCTATGGATCTATAATTATGGACTGCTTGTTAAGCCCCTGTATGCGCTAACAAACACCGAACAGACGCACCTCGAATGGGATGAGGAGGCTGAGCAAGCCTTCGATTCACTGAAGAAGGCTTTGATGTCGGCCCCGGCTCTAGGACTCCCAGATGTGAGTAAACCGTTTCTTCTCTTTTCTCATGAGAAGCAGGGCATTGCCCTGGGAATACTGGCACAAGACCTAGGTCCATATCGACGAGCTGTCGCCTATCTCTCTAAACAACTAGATGCAACTGCAAGAGGGTGGCCTGGGTGTCTGCGAGCGGTGGCTGCCCTGATACTGAACATACAGGAAGCTCGGAAGTTCACTCTGGGCCAGAAAATGACTGTCTATGTGTCTCATACAGTGTCGGCAGTCCTGGAAGCAAAGGGAGGGCATTGGCTCTCCCCACAAAGATTTCTGAGATACCAAGCTGCACTAGTAGAACAAGATGATGTACAGATAATAGTCACTAATATTGTCAACCCAGCTTCTTTCCTCAGTGGTAACATGGGAGAACCAGTGCACCATGACTGCTTGGAAACAATTGAGGCGACATACTCAAGTCGCCCTGACCTAAAAGAAAGCCCCATGAAGGATGAAGAGAGCTGGTTCACGGATGGAAGCAGTTACGTCCTGAACGGTAATCGACATGCGGGGTATGCCGTTACCACCAGTCAAAAGGTAATAGAATCAGGACCTCTGCCTGCAAATACTTCTGCACAAAAGGCAGAAATAATTGCTTTAACCCGAGCCCTGGAACTAGCTAAGGGTAAGATCATAAACATATACACGGACTCCAAGTATGCTTTTGGAGTTGTGCATGCACATGGAGCAATCTGGAAAGAAAGGGGACTATTGAACTCCCAAGGGAAAAACATTAAACATGCGGAAGAAATTTTGAGGCTATTGGAAGCTGTTCAACTTCCTGAGAAGGTGGCAATTATGCATATTAAAGCACACCAAAAGGTGAGCTCTGAATTGGAAAAAGGAAACGAGCTGGCGGATAGGGAGGCAAAACGGGCGGCCAAAATAGAGATAAAGACTGAAGGAGCACTTATTCCCGATAGGCAAATTTCCCTGGAAAGTAAACCAGAATATACCAGGGAGGATCAGAAACTTATTGCAGATCTGGAAGGGACATATAACAAGGAAGGGTGGGCTTATACCCCACAGGGGAAGTTAATTATCCCCTCTCGTTTACTATGGCATTTTACACGAGAGGAGCATAGAAAGAGACACTGGGGAGCAGAAGCTTTGTATAGTCATTTGATAAAAGAGATTGTAGCCAGGAATTTGTATACCACGGTAAGGCAGGTGACTCGACAATGCGACATCTGCCTCCGGACTAATCCCAAAAACGCCCCCAAACTAGAAATGGGTCAGATTGGAAAGGGCAACGGGCCTGGGCAACAATGGCAAGTAGATTTTACAGAATTACCAAGAAAAGGGGGGTATCGATATTTGTTGGTACTGACTGATACCTTTTCAGGCTGGCCAGAAGCATTCCCTACTAGAACAGCTAAAGCTCAGGAAGTAACTAAAGTACTGATACAAGAAATAATACCACGATTTGGGGTTCCGGCAATCATATCCTCAGATAGAGGACCACACTTTGTCTCAAAAGTAATACAACAAATTAGCCACCATTTGGGTATTGATTGGCAGCTTCATACCCCGTACCGCCCTCAGTCGAGCGGTCAAGTGGAGAAGATGAACCACTTAATCAAACAACAAATTGTGAAATTGGGGCAAGAAGCAAACTTGACATGGCCTCAGTCCTTGCCCTTGGCCCTTTTACGCATACGGACAAGGCCAAGGGCAAGGGAAGGGCTGATCCCCTTTGAAATTTTATATGGACAACCATACGGGGTACAAAAAGGAATATCCACACAAATTGGAGATGAAATTATGAGCTCCTACATGGTGGCGTTAGGGAAGCAACTCAATAAGATCAGAAAACATGTAATTGGTATTCGAGGTAGAGGGTTGGATGGACCTGTACATGATATACAACCTGGGGACTATGTATATGTTAAGTCTCTTACAGAAAAAACCTTGGAGCCACAGTGGGAAGGGCCATTCCAGGTGCTGCTCACGACGTTCACAGCCATCAAGATTAAGGAATACTCGGCCTGGATACATCACACCCGAGTGAAGAAAGCCCATAAATCCCCATGGAAAGTTACCCAAGTTCGGCCGGGAAGATTACGCTTCTCACGATAAGTCTGATAATCATTTTTCCTTTAATGTATAGTCAAAGGTTCAGTGAATGGCCATGGTCCCAGGCCCACATTGGGTATACTGGAAGTATGGGGATAGGCAGCACACACACGACTCTAAATTTGGCTACTACAGTTATACAGGGGATAAATGTAAACTCAAAAGAAGAATGGAATCACACCTATCAAGGAGTACTACAATTGCAGGGAACATTGGGACAAGAAATTAAAATAGGATGCAGAGCAATTAATGAGTCTACTCACTGGGCAGCAAAACAGATCACAGTAAGAACACGTATGGAAACTGGGGAACCGGGCGCCCTTTTAGCAAACCAAGTCTGTGATACAACAAAATCAGATTGTTGGTATAACTCTACTCTTAACCAATCAATTTCCGTAGTATGTCTCTGGGTCAAGTGGCAGCCGATATTGGGATTATCCTTCAGATTTCATATAATAATAAACAACGCAACAACAACACCAACAACTGAGAAGACAACCAGCACAACAACAACAGCGCCAGACACAACTCAAACAACTCAACCCCAAACAAAACCAGGGCCTAAGATTTATGAAGTTGGCCCATATATGATTAGGAATGTGGGCCAACAACAATTATTATTTAAACCAGATTGGTCTCTTAAGCGTGTTGAATTGATAATACAGACTAACATCTCCGAAATCCAACCAGCCTGTCTTCCTTTCGTAGAAACATCTTTCAAGGGCTGGACGAGGTGGACACAAAAACAAATGCACCTTGGAAGCAGAACAAAAAGAGATTTAACTGGAGTATTAGGAACGGGGTTGGGAGTCTTGAATAGAATCGATTCAGAAGTATTAATGAACAAGTTGGCCACTGCAACAAGTGATTTAACAAGGCTAAAGCAGCCTCTGCAGTCATCTTTGTTGGCATTGGGAACTAGTCAATGGCAAGTCTCAAAAATATTGCCAATGTGGGGAAAGAATGAGGACCAAGATCACAGACTAATACTAGATGCACTTAATATGGCCCAGAATAATGTGTCTTTAGCTTTTAGTTGTATACAGGCACAGTTATGGCTGCAGGCAACCGCTGCCTTGATTATAAGGGAAGGGAATGAAGGAATTTTTCCAGTTGAAATCCGAAAGGCTGTTTGGGACAAAGCTACCAATTTTGAAAGAAGATTCCAATCTTGGTGGACTATGGTGAATTTTACCTATGACTCCACTACTAACATGGCTACTGCCTTTGTGCTCACCATACGTAATGCCACAGTTTATGTAATCCATCCCATCATCGCATTAGGGTTGAATCATGAGGATACAGTGCTCTATCCTTCAGAGCATAGAGCATGGGCCCGGAAGGAGAATGAGAAATGGCAGACTGTAAATGTGGAATCTTGTATTACTCGAGAACAACAGGGGTTCATCTGTGAAAGTAATACAATTGACACCAGAGACATATGCCTTGACACTGAGCAAAGTATCTGTCACTTCGAAATTCACCCAGATAATAGTAAGAAAACTGTGATTATATATGCTGGTCAAGGCTGTATATGTTTAAGAACCGCTTGTGTATTCATAGAGATAGATCCTGACAATGTAACTTTGCTTACTGGGAATCATTCTAATTTCTGTATTTGTAACTTTGTTAAGATTACTGGGTGTGACTTTGTATATTGGGCACCAGTGGTTTCCCACCAGTTGATAAAATCTAAAATCATAGGTTATCTCGAATTATCACCTACACCTATTGGAATGAACCTTACATTAGTAAGGCAATTGATTAAACATCAAGATTTGTTAGGGATCTTGAGAGAAATTCAGAGAAACGGAGAGAAAACTTTAGTTACTATACACCATGATACAAAAGAAATAAACAGGGTTTTGCAAAGAGCAAAACAAGATGCAAGTCACAACTGGTGGGATACTCTTTTCGGCTGGTTGCCTTCTGCAACAGGGATTCTTAACACTATGATACACCCCATTGTGATTCTACTAGGTAGTTTAGGAATTTTATTAGTACTAACCATCATTTTGTATTTATGGGTCTGGAGAATATTTAAAAGAATAACAGCGATGCATGAGGCTTTATATTATTTGGGGGATTGCTGAAGTAAAAGAATTTACTCAGTATAATAAGAAAAGGGGGGATTGATACAGGGCCAAGATAGGAACAGGGGATGTAAGGGTTAACATGAGAATAGCAAGAAGGGGATAACAAAAGAAAATAGTTAAGATAATAGTTCAAGGGAAATAGTTTAGATAACGGTTAACAGTTCTGCTTAGTGAGCAGACAGTTTGTAAGACACGATGAGCTCTCTAGGCTTTATCAGTACCAAGCCGGTTGGAACTAGACCCGCGGTTTGGACAACAGCCAGTAAGAAACTGAGTCTGCGCAAAACCTGGGGTCACAGAGCGGACAGGAGGAAGAGGAGCTTGACTTCATCCCCAAAGACCCCCACGACCACCACCAGAAGACACTGCGCAGACTCAACTGGGAGGAGATTATGGAAATGCTAATTATAATACGAAGCGGGGATAGGTGTTGCATATGTATAGGCGTATTGCGAAATATTATGAATATGTAATCATTTGCTCTATAAATCTTAGGTAACAGCACCCCACGTTGGGTACACAATAGGAGGAGTTATCCCCTGTGTACCTCAGCGCTGAATAAACATACCTACTTTACAATCTATCAGATTGTGGAGTCTGTTTCCGCACGTCACAGCCTCCTCATCCCATTCGAGGTGTGTCTGTTCGGTGTTCGTTAGCGCATACAGGGGCTTAACAAGCAGTCCATAATTATAGATCCATAGCCTGCACCACCCCGTCATTCCCAAGAAGGTCCTTAATTCTTTTACTGTCTGAGGTTTCGGGGTTTGACATATGGCCTCCTTACGGGACTGTCCCAAAGTTCTTTGCCCCGCAGTGATCTCATAGCCCAGGTAGTTTACTTTACGTTGTATCACCTGGGCTTTCTTCTTAGAGACCCGATACCCCCGTAGTCCCAAAAAATTTAACAAGCTCACCGTCCACGTTGCACAGTCCTCTTCTGTCTCAGTAGCGATCAAAATGTCGTCCACGTACTGCAATAATTTTCCTTTCTCGGATGGGGCTTCCCAGGATTCCAAGTCCTTTGCAAGCTGGTTGCCAAAAAGAGTAGGGCTATTCTTGAACCCTTGTGGCAACACTGTCCAGGTGAGCTGGGTCTTTCGACCAGTTTTAGGATTTTCCCATTCAAATGCAAACAACTTTTGGCTGGCTTTATGGAGAGGAAGGCAAAAGAAGGCGTCCTTCAAATCTAAGACAGTAAACCAAATCAACTTTAAAGGTTTACAAAAATACGCCTTTTCAGATTGGCCGGTCGCTCCCTTTACCATAACATAGTCGTCCCCCAGTGGTATTAAAGCTTGATTCAAAACAGAGTACGTTGCTCCTGTATCTACCAAAAGTTCTACTTCTTCTTGTTCTCTCCCCAGCTTAAGTTTAACCAGTGGATCCACCAGGGTAGATCCCCCAGGTCCCCGTCAGTCCTCTGTTACATTTGACATTCATTGAAGCCTTCACATTCTCCAACCCTTGCACAAAGCACTCTGATCCCGCCCCAGCCACGGTCGTTGCCTGGCCGGTCTCTGAACCAGAGTGGCCGTCAACTTCATCTGTCCTTGTCGACATTCTTCTTCCCTGTTGCTAAACACTTTCCACGCCTCCTCTAACAATACCTCCAGATTCCCACTTTCCGTAGGGCGCAGCTTCTGAAGTTTTCAACCTTATCCACCTTCGTACATCTCTGTCCAATACTACATGATGAGCAACACCTCTTTAGCTTACCCCTACTTTCCTTACTTTCTCGTTCAAGTGCGAGCACCATAGGGTCCTGTGGGGGTACTAACCCACAGTCCCTTTGCCACTCTGGGTGGTTTCGCAAAGTGAAAAACATATCCGCGTATGATACCTCATCCCATTTTCCTTCTCTCCTTAAAAACAACATAAGTTGTAACAAAGTGTTATAGTCCAGTGTTCCATTAAGCGGCCATTTAGCGCCATCCTCCAGCTTATACAGCGGCTACCACTGATTGCAATATTTTACAAGAGTCCTTTTGCTTTCCGTGCCTCTGCTCCCTGCAATGTCCCGCCAATGGGCGAGTATACAGCCGAGAGGGCTCTTTTTAACACCCCTCTCTGAGTATTACCCATCTTGTTTCTGTAAAACACTCGCTTAACACAATCACCACACAGCAGTCACTCACAATCTTATGATCACCACACAGCAATCACTCACAATCTCCCATTCTCACGGACGTCCACATACTTACAGCACTTTCATCTGAAGTTAAAACAGAACACAACAAAATAAAACACTACAAAACAAAACAAAACAAAACGCCTTTTCAATCACTCTTGCCTGTGGCCGCCCTATCGGCCAACAGGTTCCCCCCCGACTGGAGCCAGCAACCGCTCTGTCGGTCTGTGGCAAGATGTAATTGCCCCCAGACTCCCCTCACCCGCACGACAAACAGAACACAACAAAACAGAAGAAAACACAACAAAACAAAGGCCTTTCAATTTGGAGCCAGCGACCGCTCTATCGGTCTGCGGCAAAATATAATTGCCCTCTAGACTCCCCTAACCCGAATGGAGCCAGCGACCGCTCTATCGGTCTGCGGCAAAATATTGCCCTCTAGACTCCCCTAACCCGCACGAATTCGCGCCTTTTCGGTGCACCTACCTGGCTTAGCTGCACGCCAGACGTCTCTGCGCGATTTACCAGCTGCCCCAGCCACGCGTACGACTTACAGGCTCCTATCCTTGAACATACCGTTTGGTCCGCAGCTTCAGGAAGTCCTTGTCTGCCCCCCACGGTGAGCGGCTGGTAGCGGAGGCTCCTCCGAGGAAAGTGCTCGGGGCGCGCCTGGGAGAGTCCGCCCCGCAGTCGATCCCGCAGTTGAGCAGAGAGTCTCCTGCCTGGCTCGCCAAAACTGACGTGCGGAAACAGACTCCACAATCTGATAGATTGTA